TGCCATGTCCAGGAAGAGGTGTACACTTCCCAAATGTCACACTTTTAGTGAGCAGTGAGCTGGTGGAGTGACTGCAGTTACCAAAAGCAAAGGAAAGCCTTAAACAGACTGGCTTTTCCCTTCCTTCTCCTAAGAGCTCTCAAAGGCGTTGGACTTACTTGGTTCTGAAGTCATCAGCTGCCAGCCTGGCGTTGTCAATCTGTAAGACGATGTTGGCATTTTCAACAGTTGCAGCAAGAATCTGGGGGGAGATAAAAGGAAGCGAAAGAGTAAAAAAGTAGTTCCAAAAAATGGCATGCCGCTGCCTGAGTTCCCGTTTAGAAGAAGTACTGGGGCAGCACTGAAGCTCCTGCCCGTCGGGCTGGACCTCCACGTGGACTCTGCAAAGAGAGAGACAGGATACTCGTGCCAACCTCCCATCGGCACCGCTTCGGTCTTGGTGAGACACTGGTGTGCGCACATGCCTCAGCCTGTTGCCCCTGCCGGAGCGGCACCTCCGGGCACTCACACCATGCTCGGAGTCCTGGCAGCGCTCTGGGCTTTGCCTGGCAGTGCTGAACAGCCTAGCTGAGAAGGCAAAAAGGGTTGAGGAAGGAGTGCCTTGTGCTTGAATCATTCCGCTTTCGTAATTACACCTGAGGTGCAAAGATTTCTTCTGGGATTTTGAAAATGATTGGCCATTTAATGAGCAGTAATTTCTGTAGCCACAAGCTAATGAAAAACTCTCACTGGGTTCTGATGCTTCAGAGGATACCCAAGCAATAATCCGGGAATATTGATGTGGTACTTTCCGAGCTGTGGAGCGGGAGGGGAGGGAAGGGTCTGCCTCCCTCTGGATCACAAGCAGGAGGTTTCTGTGAGACCCGGCACTTCATTGCTCAAATCTGGAGACAGCTTCTGCCTCCACATGCTTCTGTGCTGCAGATCAGAGCACACCTGGCAAGCTGGAATTTGAAGAGAAGCTTTGTGTATCAAGCAAGAGCCTTTCCCCCAAGGTGAAGCCCCAGGGAAGGGTTAAAGAACTGAAAAATTCTAGGTATGCGATTTGCCCCAGGGGCCGACCCCTGCGCCTGTCAGCGGCTGCTGCCCCATTTCCCTGGCATGTACGCTCACAGACCAGGTACTGTCATTACCCCACCGCCCACACCTCCATCCCCGCCAGCCGAGCCTGAGCTGACGAAGGATGCTGTCACCTTGCGTGGGCCGTGGTGAAGGACCCAGCTCATGATGAGTAGCGTGGGCAGAGGGAGGACAGCGATGGCAGGGTAGGAGAGGAAGGACAGATTCTGGGTGCTTTTGTTCAAGCACCTTTGACTGAAATTACCCAGGGAGCTGCTAAGAATAAGGAAACAAGCTTGACCGTGATTTCATCTCCCGCATTTTAGAGCAGGGCACACACCTGCCTTCAGCACCTCTGAAGCCATCTACCACAAGCCAGTACGTTCCGACTCCTGGAGTGTCACTCGTGTCTCCGTTTGCACCGCCCAAAGAACAAGCATCCCATAGGGCAGCGTCTTTCTGTTCTAACCTCTACCTTGAGCCTCTTGTCAGGCTAGAAAAGATCGGATCTGCAGGATATTTATGAGAACGACTTAGCATCTCCATTTGCATATCGTTCAGTAGTGAGCAGTGCCAAAGAGATAACGAGTCCCTGCCTGCAGAAGGCTTAACCAGGAGTCTGGCAAAGGGAGTCCCTACTGGGGGCCTAAGAAGCGTGGAGGAAAGGTGGGAAATGGGGCAGCACGCACCCCGCAGCATCAGGTAGCCCAAACCAACGTCTGGTAGCCTCTGACTCCTGCTTTGCAGCCCATCGTTCTCCCTGCAACTGAACAAGCGACAGAAAACCCATCTTTGTGCCTCGCGGAGGACATGATCAAGAAACTGCTGTTCATAAATTATGACCATTATTTCCAAGCGTGCTCTTTCAGTTTTGCCATCTCAGACCAATTACCTGTCACTTGTTAATACTCTACCCTTCGGCTTTTAGGAACAGACTCATCTTTCTAAAAGTGACTTTAATCAAGATGTCTCGGTAGTCACAGCATCCTACCTTGTTCCTGAGCTCCTCGATGGTCCTGTAGTAGGGGCTGTAGTCACGGTCTGGGCCAGGTCCCTGCTTCTTGTACCATTCCCTGATCTTGACCTCCAGGTCAGTGTTGGCCTCCTCCAGGGCTCGCACCTTGTCCAGGTAGGCAGCCAGGCGGTCGTTGAGGTTCTGCATCGTCTCCTTTTCGCCAGCCGGGAGGATGCCATCGCCACCTCCAAAGCCAGCTCC